TTTTAATAGCTTGGAGCTGCATGTGAATGTGCATACTGTTTATTATTCAGAGCTTACTTGCCAGACATTCCCCCAAGAATGCAAACCTCCTCCTAAAACTTAATTTTGTAGGTTGCGCGAAAAGCCAAGGGACATAACGGTTTGAAGTCAGCCAATTTATTTGTCCACTGGATTAAAATCCAAATGCCTTTTAGAGCATAATTAAAAGTGGCCAACGAGAAGAAGGTGGTAACATTCCACTATGTAGTTGTACTCTGGTTTGCTCTCTAAAACATAGCACGTTATTACCACCTGGCTTCTTTTCTGTGAGGAGTACCCTTAGAAAATATGTTAGCCAAGGCAGGCAGTGTGTGGAGGCCACAGTTTCTTAAAGGCTGGGGAATCTTCAAGGCCTGCACTCTCCCAGTTCGAACTCTTGGGGACAATTTTTAAAAAATTATATTCTATTGATTTTTTACAGAGAGGAAGGGAGGAAGGGAGAGAGAGAGTTAGAAACATTGAGAAACATTGATGAGAGAGAAACATCAATCAGCTGCCTCCTGCACACCCCCTACTGGGGATGTGCCCACAACCAAGGTACATGCCCTTGACCAGAATTGAACCCGGGACCCTTCAGTCCGCAGGCCGACGCTCTGTCCACTGAGCCAAACCGGTTTTGGCAGGGACAATGTTTTTAATTCATTTGTCATAAGATCCCTTTCATATTAAACCATTGGTAACAAATGCAGGTTTTCAAATGATGCCTAAATAATTAGGTTTCCTTCCTTATATATGACAGCTTATGTAGCCTTAATATAAATGTGTGTGTGTGTGTGTGTGTGTCTAAAAGTAAGTTACTATTTGAAAAAAATCCCTTTACAGTTGAATTTTCCTCAGGATCTGTTCTCCCAGTTTAATCTATACCATTGCCACTTTAACCCTCCTTTCAGGTTTTATTGACTGACTTGCATGTTTGTTTTAGCAATAAGGGGCTAGTGGATTGGTAGCTTTTAAACCTCAGCATCAGTTTTCAGTGCAGAGCCTACACCAAATGTATAATTTGTGGTTACGTCCACCAATGTTTATGACTTTTTTTTGCCAGACACATAGAAGAGCTCTTTGTGCTGAGAAATATTAGTGCATATGTGTGGCTGTTCACACATTCTTCCCACATGATAGCTCCTCTTTACAGCCACTCTGCTTGAGCCAGATCCAGCCCCTCAATATTGTTTTAAGATCTAACATGAAGTAAGCAGATTTTATTGTGAGTGACCCTCCTCAGTTGATTATAATGTGAAGCCTATTCCTCAGTTCCTTTCCCCCCTTTCCTCTGCTTTTTTTTTTTTTTTTTTTACTGTGGCAAAATAGACATAACACAATTCATCATTTCAGTCATTTTTAAATATATAATTCAGTGGCATTAAGTGCATTCATAATGTTGTGTGGTCACCACCAATAGTCATTTTATGTTCTGTGATATGGTTCTGAGCAGAACTACTTTTAGTGTGAGGCTCAGAAATTCATTGGAGACTAGTGAAGAGAAGTGAAGTTATTTGGACTGGTGGAGAAAATCCAAAGGAAGAAGTGGAGGGATCATTTTTCACAAAGAATGAGGATGCAACTTTTCCTCCCTCCTCCAAGATGTTTTCTCGGTAGAATTTAGGCCTTGTACATGGATACTCCCAGGCAGCTCTACCCCAGCTCCTAGAACAAAGGGAACTGGGTCTCTGGGCTTTGGAATCGTGATGTCTGGGAGCATTTTCGACCATTGTGCCCGGTGCACATTGGGATGTTAATGCTGAGAGCCACTTACCCATGAAGTTGTCATGGAGTGGTTGCATTTAACTCTTATAAATTCTTCCTACTGATACACCCCGAATATCACCAACATTCATAGGGAAATTCAGGCATCTGTTTTATTGATGATGGTTAGGAGCTACAATATCATCCAAACTCTAAATTCATTTCTCCCTATATAAAAATGTTGGCATCATGGAGAAATCATTTCACACAAAGGATTTGTACAACATCATCAACTTTAAGGAAATTGTTAAGAATTAAGACCCAATTCCTATCATTTATCAACTAGATTCCAGGCATCTATTTCCAATCTATTTACCAATCTATGCCGGATACATTCACACAACGCTCTGCTGACTCTGTTCAGGTGGGAAGCCCCCCTCGCCTGTGGGCTCCATATGGCACTTAGTTGAACAGCATGTCTTTGAAAGCATCCATTGTGTATCGATTCTTTTTTTTGTTTGGACTTGCAGCGTGGAATTGTAAAGTCTCCTGATGAAGTTCTCAAATTCACTTATTTCCAGGGATTCTTTGGAAGCGTTGAGTGCTTGCCAGCAGGTCAGATAATTGGTAGTTTGTTTTGTAACAAATAGGAAATGTCAGGAATTGTGAGGAAGAAGGATATTGTGACACTGGCTTGTGGTCTTCTCTTTAACCAACATGATATAAGAATGCTTCCACGAATTCTTAGGCCTGGGCCTTTGTTTATAATGTTCTTATGAATGCCTGCAGATTCTACTAGGCAGAGAGGAGGGTCTAGAATAGGGGGTCGAACTCAATCAGAGAAGGGGCCAAAATCTAAAATCCAGCCTAAATCGCGGGCTGAATGGTTTACTGAACAGTCATAAACTGTCATTGTGATGGAAACGCAGCAGAGTGCAGTGATGACAGCGCGGTGCAGGCCACATTGCAAGGCCTGGCGGGACGGATTTGGCCCGCGGGCCTTGTGTTTGACACATGTGGTCTAGAACAAAAAACTGTGTGTCAGTTACTCAAGTAGCTCTTTGGGGGCAGGAGTGAGAACTTGAACCCAGGACTCTGCTTTAGCTTGGCTGAAGAATCCCCAAGTGCTCTCAGCATGCCTGGTTAGGGCACAGTGTGTCCCAAAGAGAGGAAAAGTAAGATTGGTGACCAGTAATCCTTGTGGCTCTTAAATCTACTGGATAAATGCAGGTGCATGTGGGCAGCAGGGGATGGGTATAACTCATAGAAGAGAATGGGTTCTATTCAATGACCTGTTGCTCCTGCCATCCATCGGTAAAAGTAAAATGACTCTACCAGTAACCTTTGACCAGGCATTCAAAGGCTAACGCCTGGCTTTAGAGTTTGGAATTATCCATGAAGAATATTACATGCCATTACATAGCTGTGAATAGCTTCTGGATTTCAATGATGAGGAATTATGGGAGCATACATTGGCATCTGTTTTAAAAGAAAGGCCCAGCCTTTGTGACTCAGTGGGTCGACCAATGAACCAGGAGATCATGGTTCGATTCCCGGTCAGGGCATCTGTCTGGGTTGCTGTTTTGATCCCAAGTGTGGAGTGTGCAAAGACAGCCCATTAATGATTCTCTCTCATCATTGATGTTTCTATCTCTCTCTCCCTCTCCCTTCTCTGAAATCAATAATTTTTTTTTAAAGAAGGTGCTTTATTGCTGGATGCTGAAGCATCTTTGATGGCTCCCCAGGTCTCGCTGGGGCAGGCTAAATGGACTTGCTGGTCTCCTGGGTTACTCATTGGTTCCTCGAATGCCCTGCTCTTCTCAGAGAGGAGGTGAAACTAGAAAAGCAGTAACTGGAGATGATCATGTCTTTGAAACATTTTTTTCAGTGTTTGATCTGTGAGGTGGAGTTGGGTCTGTTTTACTAGTGGGTCTCTAGAAGTCTGCTAGAGAGTGAAGAGAAACCAAGGCATATGATTCTAAGCTTCTTGGGTAGAAAATGGGTCCTTATACATCATATTCTCTTAGCTTATAGATTCAGTGTATAGAAAATACATGCATAGCATTGGTTTTAACAGGCATTGCTAGAGTGTCAGATGCCTTGCTAGGCAATAACAATAGAAATAACTCAGAACCTAATCAGAGAGACAGACTCATAGCTCTTTAATTTATATAATATTGTGGAATGAGTAACTTTTCCTAATTTTCTTATTCATTCATTTTAACAAAATTGGTTGGTCTTTAAGCATATAGGATTAATAAAATATGGCCTTTCCCTTCAGTAGTTCTGTAGTCTAGATGTAGACTAGATGAGAGTATGCCCAGAGTATTATAATAACCAAGAGAAGAAAGCCTGAAATGTTACCATATTCTTGGGGAGAGAGGTACACGGCAGGGTTTCAGCGGGATCCTGAGTTGAATACTGGTGTCCACACAAAACCTGCACACAATTATAGGAGCTTTATTCATAATTATAAAAACTTGGGCAACCACAGTGTCCTTCAACAGGTGAATGAATAAACAAACTGTGGTCCATTCAATGGAATATTATTCAGTGGTTCAAAGAAATTAAGCTATCGAGGCAGGAAAAGATATAAAGGAAGCTTAAATACACATTGCCAAGCGAAATATGACAATCTGATTCCAACTATATGACAATCTAAAAAAGGCAAAACTACAAACACAGTAAAAAGATTTTAATGGTTGCCATGGATTAAGGAGGAGGGAGATAAAGGTTGAATGGATAGAGCACAGTGGATTTTTGGGACGATGATACTGTTAAGGTAGATCCATAATATTACACATTTGTCAAACTGCACAGAACTATGCAACGCAAATAGTGAAACTGGATTTCAGGTGATAGTAATGTGTCAGTGTTGGCTCAATAATTATAGCAAATATATCCCACTAATGCTGCAACTTTCAGCCTTTTGATCTTGTAAACATAAACTAATTACTAATATTCTGCAGCACACCAAAAAAATTACATTTTTTGCCAATCTGACAAAAAATATGTGTAATTTTGATTCATGACATCAGACAGCTGTGGTTGTCATTTTTTAATTTGACCATGTAAGGCAAAAGAGGTGAGTGCCCCTGATTAACTGGTCAGGTAGTAACATGTTTTAGAAATTCTGGCGGCACACCAGTTGAAAATCACTGCCCTAGTGCAAGATGTGAATAACGGGACACTGTGTGTGTGGCTGGCAGCGGGGTCTGGGGACTCTCTGTGCTCCTGCCTGTGTCGGAGGAAGTAACGCCTCTTGTTTCTCTTCCCAGCAAAGAGCCCCGGGGAAAGTGTTGCTGGATGCGGTGTGCAACCACCTCAACCTCGTGGAGGGTGACTATTTTGGCCTTGAGTTTCCTGACCACAAGAAGATCACGGTAGGGGATGCCATGTTGATGTTGCTATTTTATTATCTGTTTGACTTGGGAGAAGGGAGTAATCAGGATCTTTTCTTGACTATACAGAAATATACAGAGGAAAAACACCCAGAAAGCGTTTTTAATCTCTTTCTGAAAGTAATGTGTGCACAGCATTAGCAAATTCAAAGAGAATACACATGAAGGCTATTTCCCTCTCACTCTTTCCCTCATCTCTCCCTCCGGGACCATTACCAGTTTCTTATGTATTCTTCTGATCAAAGTCTACTGTCCCCCATTAACATATCACAGATCTTTCCTTTTCAGGACATAGAATTCATTTCCTCCTTTTAAAAATAGTTTTATGCCATTCCAGTGGATGCATATGCCATAATTTACCAGCTTGTATTATTATTTATTGATTGTTATATATTATTAAAGGCCCAGTGCACAAAATTCGTGCACTCAGGGGGGGGGGGGGGAATTGATGTCCCTCAGCCTGGCCTGTACCCTCTTGCAATCTGGGAGCCTTCGGGAGATGTCCACCTGCTAGCTTAGGTCCACTCCCTGGGGGATCAGGCCTAAGTTGGCAGTTGTCCCTCTGGCAGCCCAGGAGTCCTTGGGGAATGTCCAACTAACAGCCTAGGCCCACTCCCCACCCCTGGGCTTGCCACCTGTGAGCCCAGCTTCTGGCTGAGTGGTGCTTCCCCTGTGGGAGTGCACTGACCACTAGGGGGCAGCTCATGTGTTGAGTGTCTGCCCCCTGGTGGTCAGTGTGCATCATAGCAACCCATTTTGCTGTTTAGTTAATTTGCATATTAGCCTTTTATTATATAGGATTTTCATGTGAATGACTATAAACCTACTTGTGCCCACCCTGTATGTCATATTGTTCTTTTACAACATAGCTTACTGTTTTATTTATATATATATATATATATATATATATATATATATATACACACACACACACACACACACACAATATATCGCTATGTTATGTGTGTGTGTGTGTACCTGTATTTTCCGGTGTATAAGACGACTTTTGAAACGAAAAAAAGTCAACCGAAAATCGGGAGCAAAAGACTGAAATTGCACAAAAATTACCTGCAGATCTTGACGGCAAAGTAAGTCTTTTCTTTGAAGTCTTTTCTTTTAATTTTACAGTTAAAACATAGGTTTAAGCCTATATTCACTGGTAGTCTTATACAGTGAATATAGGCTTAAACCTATGTTTTAACTGTAAAATTAGGGGGTCGTCTTATACACCAGAAAATACGGGGTGTGTGTGTGTGTGTGTGTGTATAACAGTAAGCTATGTTGTAAAAGAACAATATGACATATATAGAGAGGAAGAATACCCAGAAAGTATTTTTAATCTTTTTCTAAAAGTAATGTGAGCACAGCATTAGCAAATTCAATGAGAATTTTATGTGTGTGTGTGTGTGTGTGTGTGTATATAGATATATATATATATATATATATATATATATATATATATATATATATATATATATATATAATATATTAATATGTACCGGTATCTATCTTTTGACTGATGTCACCTTTTAGGCTATATCTGAATCTGTCTTTTATTAGACATCCTTTTAGACTATACGTTCATTGTTAGCATTTCTGTTCATTCTTTCATTAATTACCTGCTGAGTCCCTAGAATGTTTGTTGGAGATTCAGTATTAGTAAGATGCAGAGATTGTATAACCCAGGCAGGGCACCAAGTTTATTCAGTGACTGGTACAGGACAGGTGACAGGTGCTGCACTGGAGCCAGGGGGCATTGGACAGTGTGGACAACAAACAACATTTGTGTTCAGGACATCGCCCCAGATACTGCAAAACTGGGTGGTCCATTCAGCAACCTGCAAATCAGATGGAGTGTAGAAGTGAGGGGGAGAGGGCTCTGGTGAAGAGAGAGAGAGGGGGTGGGGGTGGGGAGAGGCGGGCACTTGAAAGGTAAGGACTTTTTGTTCCATTGCTGTCCAAATGAAATGTGAGCCACATACATCATTTCAGATTTTCTAATAGTTACGTTTAAAAATGGTTTAAAAAGTAAAAGTAACTTTAAAAAGTTTATTTAGTTTAATATATCCTAAACATGTAATCAATGCCAAAACTATAAATAAGATATTTTACACATTTTTGCACTAAGTTTTCGAGTCTGGTGTGTATTTGACATATTCCAAGTGCTCAGTAGCCGCACGCAGCTGGCGTCTGCAGGGTTCGGTCTGTCCCCAGCTAATGCGTTTGGGAAACTATGTCTGCGTTTTAAAGGGAACACGATGTGAGCCATGTGGCCACATTGGAAAGGAACAAGACTGAGGTCTGCAAAGCTGTCAGGAGCTCCTAGCATCTCAGGTGGGAGGTGGTGCAAACTGGACCGAGGGAGAATCACAGGGAGGGCTAGAGGGGGGTGAGGGAGGTGAATTCAAGAGATTTTTTTTTTGGGGGGGGGGGTTAGGGATATGATTGAATGGAATGGCGTGTGAGGGAAAGAGGGCTCAGTGCTGATGGGTTTTCCCAGTTTGCCATTTGGGTGGCCAGTGGCACCAGTCCCTAGAGAGGCAAAGCCTCAGAGAGACCATGTCCACGAAGAGGTGAAGGCACGAGTCCCATGGGGACACAGGAGTGGGCGCCCCTGGAGATGTCCAGTGGGCAGTACCCATAGGCATATCTCCTGGAGCTCAGGAAGGAGATCCCAGCTGAAGACCAAGAACCTACAATTACTAAGGAGTAGAGGAGGGATGTGGTGAATGAGTCAATCTGTCTTGTACCTAGAAATGGACACAAATTTTGTTTTCTTAACGTATTCCTACCTCTAAATACTCTTTGCCCATTTTCTAGTGCTTATGTTACATTGAAGCTTCCCTGACTCCCAGTCCTTTTTCTGATGTGGCAAATGACCACCGAGGGGCCGGATGTAATTCCAGGTTCATTAATTCATCTAAGAATGATGTTGTGCCTACACTGTGTCAGCCATTACACTTCGTCCTGTAGAAGACACTTGATCTATGGTGACCGCAAGAAGTAGTTAATGGTCTCCATTGGAAGTGCAGGAAGACAGATGAGGACACAAATAATAATCATATGATGTAGCAAGTTCTATAGAACATTGTTTCATAAGCTTGTTTTATGTGAAAATAGTGATTCTCAGAGCCCTTGAAGATCTGGTATTTCATTTTCTTTTGACAACCCTGCCTGAATTACCGCAGGGTCCCAACGGCTCTTTCGGTTAGTCGTGCCCTGTTCCGACCCAGCTGGAGTTGCCTTTCTAAACTGTGAATTAGTGGTGAGGGGACTGAGACTCTGAGACCTGTTCCCTATCTGGGTCAGCCAACTAGCTAATGGCAGAGCTCAGATTCTGGTCTTGTTCCTCTGACTCCGAGCTCAGTGCCTTCTGCTGTATCTGTGCGGGCTTCTTTTTACTAGAATTTACAAACCTATTGCTCTCCCTGGGCATCTTCAGGGATGACTTCTTTCATTTTATCAAGGTTGATTGTAACAATTTCACTGCTTCCTTCCAGTACTGTTTGGGAATACGTTCAGCTGCCAAATTCAGAAAAACCAGTGGTGATGACATAAAGATAAAGTGTTTGTCATGTATAATGCAAAAAAAGCATCCACAGGAGTGGTTGGCACATGCCAGGCCATCCCAGTCCCTGTGGTACCACAGTGTACATGGCTCACATTCTAAAGGAGCGACCAGCAAACGTTCTTGGTAAAGGGCCAGCTAGTCAATACCATATGGAGGTTTTGCAAGCCAGAGGGTCTCTGCCATAACTATTCATATCTGCCCTTGTAATACAGAAGCAGCCACAGACAGGAAACAATGAGAGAATGTGACTTAGTTTCAATAGAACTTTATTGACAATACAGAAAGCCCTAATTTGCCAACACCTGCTCTGGAGAGTAATAAACTCTGGGCTTGCTTATAATATTTTATTCATTCCAGTTATAAATCCCTTTTCTTAAAGAGGTTAAGTCGTGTTCCCAAAAGGCACACAGCTAGGGAATGCTAGAGCTGGGATTCTAGACTGAATCTGTCTAACTACAGCCATGCTCTCTCAGTCACCATCCCAGGCTTACCATATATCTATATTTTGCTTCCTGACTAGAGCAAAATTCCAGCCTGAGATCTCATTTCATAAAATTTAAAACTGGTTGTTTTGACAAATGGACGTGGATGGTGTAAGAGACTGCAGAAGGGTACATGAAGCGCCCCGGGGTCCCGGGCAAGCACTGCTTCTTGACCTCGATGCTGGTTCTATGTGTGCAATCAGTCTGTACAAATTCAATAATCTGTACACTTATAACCTGTACATTTTGTATATATGTGTGTGTGACCTGTATTCATGCATATATAAAGTAAACGTTTACCCTGAAATGCAGTGAGGAAAAAGCACACAGGAGCAGAAATAATGACCGTAAAGCACCCAGGAGCTAGCTTTAAGGAACCTATTTTGGAAAAGCCAGGGCTAAGTCTTAATTGGATGACCTGAGGAAGAGCCACTCCTGGTGAGAGCAATAAACTCCAGCTGCATTTTTACCTCTGCTCTCAGTAAGGCAGCTTCAAAATTTAAGATTTGTGTCATAGAGTTCTGGTCTCCTTCCCAGATTCTGTCAGTGCGGGCTTTCTAGCTGGGTGGTCTTATAGTGGTAGATGAGAGCAACTCTATGATCAGCCTGCCAGCCCTCACATCACCGCACCGCCTCTCAGCAGCAGGGGGAGTGGGGCAGGTGGGTAGAACGGAGATTTAGTGCCCACCTTGTGGGGCTTTGGAAAGGATCAAACATGATATCTATTGGCACATGCCTGGGGCCTATTAAAGTGTTCAGAAAGCGTTAGTTGTGGGAATATTATTGTTGTCACAATTTTTTATTGTGTTCACAAACAGGTAACATAAAATTTACCATCTTAACCATTTTTGTTGTTAAACCTTACCAGAAAAATTTTTTTCCATTGATTTTTAGAGTAGAAAGGGAGGAGGGAAGAAAAGAGAGAGGGA